GAGAGGCCCAGAAATTAAAGAAATTAATGAAATTAATTATTTTCTTTAATTTCATTTATTTCCCTAAGAGAGCCCCAGAAATTAAAGAAATTAAAGAAATTAATAGGTAAATAAATTACATTCCTCATACAAGTGATATACGTGAAATGGACCCAAAAGGTCCCTCTCACATATATATATATACACCCTTTAAGGGATCATACCGGGCACCTCATTCCCTCATCCCCCCCCCCTCCCCAACCTAAAACGCCGGAAAGCCCCCTGGCCATGACCTAAACAACCTAAAGCTGAAAAACCTAAACACCAAACCGTGATTTTGGGGGTTTGGGGTGGGTTGGTTCTTCGGAGTTTTGTCGTTGTGGCTTTAGGAATCTCTGCGGGTTGCTTCGCCCGGCTATGTGCTAGTGGGATACTCAGAGGGACCTTTTTCTGGAAGACCAACTCAGGCCCCCAAAGCACTTTAAAGTCCCCCCCCCCCCCCCCCAACGTGTTACTTCTGCTTAAACTTGACGGTTGGTGTCTTGCGGTGCAAACGTAGATGGCATGCGGGAGCTCGTTTCTGCAAACGAATCAGTATACAGGGGGGAGGCGTTTGCAGCGGAGTTTGAGGCTTATCACTCTCAGCTTCCGAAGGCCGCCAGCTGACATGCCGTGGATAGCTCCACTAGATTCCGTCGTCGCCTCATGGTTGAACAGGTTACCCATCCATGACCCGATCTGGCTCTGTCGCCTGTGCTTCGCGAGGTGTAAGGACGTGTACGGCAAGGCTTGCCTTATCGTGCTCCTCTTCTTTCTGTTCGTAGGCACTGTATTGTCTGTGATCACGCTTATGAGTGTTGGGGCAAGAGCCTTGAACACTGGGAGCGTTCAACGGAAGATCGTGCACAACAAGCTTCTCTCGGCTTCTTGTATGTCCTTCTCCTGGTTGGGCTACTGGCTGGGATGTTTGGTCTTTGCGTTTGCTTCTGGTGGCTCAAGAGCTCTGTGTACCGTGGCGCAGTTCTGGATTCCACCATGGATACGCTGTTGTGGGACCGGGTAGCTTCTGGGAAGCAAAGTTTTGGTTGTTGGCTGGGCCCAACCGGCCACCGCGCGGACGGCGTGGACCAAACGCGGATGACCGGTGTTTTGCCGAGTGTTGCTGTTGTCTCTTTCACACCGTGGCGAACGTCCCCATGCTCCTGTATTCATGCTTCTGCGGCTGCGATCAAGTAGAAAGCTTGTACCTGCCTACCGAAGTCTGCGTGAAGGGGGAGGAGGTCGCCTTGCTCTTACCAAAATCTACGCCAGAGAGCGAGGCTTATGTGTCAGCGACCTTTGAGGGAGTTGATGATCGGTCGCAGGCCACGTTTCTGTGCGCAGATGGGACCTTCTACTGGCTCACCGTGGAGGACATGTGCGATGGCGAGGTTTGCTTTGTGGCACCGAGCTTCCTGGTTGGCCACTGCTGCGTGGATCTGGATGACCTGCTGGACATGGACTCTGACTCTTATTTTGCCAACAGCTTAGTGGCTCAAAACCCAACTTTTCAACTTTTGGGCTTCTTAGAAGGTAGTTTATTCTGAAAGTTTCAACTTTTTTTTCGTTGGGTTTCGGGCCGGAATGACCGCTGAACTTTAAGCTTTTTGGGTTTCCTTGTTTAGTAGGAATCATAAAGTTTAACCTTTGTTTTCCCCCCCCCTTGGTTATTGGAGAAGTAAGGACTGCAATGCCTCTGCTTGGCAGAAGTCGTTCAATACGGAGGTTTGGGAGTGGCTCCGAAGCTCCAGGATCATGTAAAGACTACAGGTTTAGGGTTTAGGGTTTAGGGTTTAGGGTTTAGGGTTTAGGGTTTAGGGTTTAGGGTTTAGGGTTTAGGGTATACATGTGTGACCATGCCAAACAGAAGGTGAGTCTTTTTTGTGCTAGGGTATTCAGCCCCGAAGCGAAGCTCTAACGCCCTTTCAATATCCGGGGGACGAGCTTTGGCCCTGCTCGAAGCAATCACCTCAGAGACGGTGAGAGACCGGCGGCAGGGGCCAAACGCAGACTGGAGTTTAGGGTTTAGGGTTGAGGGTTTAGGGCAGTTTAGGGTTCAGGGTTCATGTAAAGACTACATGTGTGACCCTCTTCTCTTGTGTGCTCACTCGGCTGTCACGAGTACAGTCAGGTGGGGATCAGGCCGGGTGACGCCCAAAGACTGCCATGCACCCTGAGCCCAGAAGTCTGCAAGCCCTATGGCCCGGTAATCCTGAACCTTTCAGTCCCTAAACCCTACAGCCTTCAACCCGAAACCCCATACCTGTGTACCCTGAAGCCGTAAAGCCTAAACCCTAGGACCCTTAGAGCCCCAAACCCCCCCAAAAACTCCGAAGCTCTACAACCAACCCTGAATGCCCGAAACCCTAAGCCCTAAACCCTAAACCCTGAACCCTGAAACCCTAAACCCTAAACCCCAAACCCTAAATCCTCCCTAAACCCTCCCTGAACCCTTCAAAGCCCTGAAGCCCTGAAGCCCTGGAGGGTGGTGCCATGGTTGACAGCCTCAAGAAGGCATGGCACTGAGAAGGGGGCCGGGAGAATTGCTATGAGGTTCCTGGATGGAGGTTAGAGTTTAGGGTTTAGGGTTTAGGGTTCAGGGTTTAGGGTTTAGGGTTCAGGGTTTAGGGTTTTATGGTTTAGGGTTTAGGGTCTGGGGTGTTAAGTTTAGGCACAAACGGTTGAGGGATTTTAGGTGGGTGTCGGGATTCCTTCATGGGTAGAAGCAAGTAGGGTTCAAAGTAGGGGATCACGTGACTTAACCAAGCACGGTTTAGCGGCAATGTCCTCACCCTAAACCCTAAACCCTAAACACTTAGCAGTAGCCGCATGCTGTCAAGCTCTCTGCACGGTCTTGCGAAGTCGCTTGTAAGTCATCAGCTGTACTTTTAATTACCCATGAAGCCTCACTCAGCCCTCATTCGTATGAACCTCAGGGTTTAGGGTTTAGAGTTTAGGGTTTAGGGTTTAGGGTTTAGGGCTTATCTAGAAGTGTTCAACATACCTCTTGGGCATACCCTTAAAAGAAATTCAGGGGTGTGGTAATATCCTCCCTTACACTCCCTTAATTTCCTTGTATAGTTTGGTGTGTGGTGAACCATTCTTAGAGTTTAGGGTTTAGGGTTTAGGAAACCCTAAGGCCTAAACCCAAAACCCAAAACCCAAAACCCAAAACCCAAAACCCTAAACCCTAAACCCTAAACCCTAAACCCTAAACCCTGAACCCTGAACCCTAAACCCTAGACCCTAAACCCTAACCCCTAAACCCTAAACCCTAAACCCTAAACCCTGAACCCTAAACCCTAAACCCTAAACCCTAAACCCTAAACCCTAAACCCTGCACCCAGACAGGTAGGGATCCGGGGGGGTTGGGCCGAAGGAGCCGACCCTCACCTTGACGGTCTATCGCTACGCAGACTGAGGCGCCCCGCGGCTGCTCAGGGGGCTGGGGTTTGGGGTTTCGGGTTTAGGGTTTAGGGTTTGGGGTTTGGGGTTTAGGGTTTAGGGTTTTCGGGTTTCGGTTTTGCGTTCAGGGTTTTAGGGCCTGTAAGGGTTGAAGGGTTCCGGGGCTTCATGGGCTTGGCTTCGGGGGGTTTAATGCCTAAAGCTTGAGAAACCCTAAACCCTAAACCCTAAACCCTAAACCCTAAACCCTAAACCCTAAACCCTAAACCCTAAACCCTAAACCCTAAACCCTAAACCCTAAACCCTAAACCCTAAACCCTAAACCCCAAACCCTAAACCCTAAACCCTAAACCCTAAACCCTAAACCCTGAGGTGCTGAAACCCACAGAGCCCAGGACCCGAACACCTTTTTCATGCAGGGATGTTCCTTAGAGTAAAACTAGGATGCCCAGTAGTACCCTTATTCCCTTTTTGGGGGGGTTTAGGTTCCCTTATAAAGCAAAACAAGGGCAATTTTTTTAAGCCTTCGTTACTGGACAGCCTAGAAAATAGGGTCTTGATGAAGGTCCGGGTTGCCCGAACGAGTTTAGGGAACTGCAAGGTTTGGGCTGTGATCGCACTCCGTTGTTAAGACGTTTCATGTTTGGGTTTAGGTTTAGGGCTTAGGGCTTAGGGTTTAGGGTTCAGGGTTTAGGGTTTAGGGTTTAGGGTTTAGGGTGAGCCATTTTGGCTCAAGCGCATAAAAAACGTTTGAACCAAATTCGAAAACTCTGATCCCACCAATGGCGGAACCCTCTCCAGTGGCTCGTGAAGATTCCCATCACTCCACAGTATCAGAAGAAGATGTGGGATTTGGAGAACGTGGTGGGCGGACTGGTCAAAGGCAAGTGCCAGCAGCAGGCCGGCCAGACCCTTGGGCAAGATTTTTCCCGGGACCAGTCCGTTCTCCGGCCGAACTGGATGAATTGAAGCGTGAGGCCAAAATCAAAAGGATGGAGGCCAGAATCGAGCACTATGTGCTCTCGGTGAAGCCATCACTCACTGGCCTTCACATTGCTTTCCTCTGCTTCGTCTTCTGGTTTGCGGTGGTGACTCCCTGGCTTGAACCAAAAAGGTTTGGATGTTGAGGCTCCTTCCATTGACAGCCACGACACTGGTGAGGTTCTGGGAGTCGGAGCTCGAGGGCACAGTTCTCAGCCACAACTTAATGTTCGTCCCAACCGTGATTGCTTTTGTTTCCTCATACCTCTGTCATCTCACTCTTGGTGATGGCGAGGTGAGGATTGTTGTCATCGGCTGTTACCTGGCCACAAGCTTCAGCTTGGCGAGCTGGGTTGGGGATGGCATTGACATTGGAGGGTCACATCTCAGCTTGCATTTGAGGAGCATGCCAGCTGTTCAAGTCTCCCTCATTTTCACGTTTTCATTCGCTCGTTGCGTTGTTGACCCAAGACCCCTTCCGATTTTTGCCTCGATCTTCTTCCCGTTGTGGGCTCCTGAGGGAGTCCTCACTTGGCAAAGCAACCTGGTTGACAACAAACAACTCCTGACTGCAGCCCTCGCAGCCTCCATTGTTTTGGCTGTCGATCACTTGGCCACAGGTTCTGGGCTTGTCAGGACAGGATCAAGAGGTGGGAATCGACCTTCGAGCTGGACAGTTTTCGGTAAGAGCCGTGCTCAGTTCAGTGAGGTCACTTCTGTGCTGGAGACTAATGCGGCGCCTCCAGCTCCTTCGGTTCTTGGGGCTGGCTTTTTGTAGACTTTCCATCAACCAATGCAGCCTGCAGGACATTCAGGTGCTCCAGGTTACGGTCCTAGTGTGTCTCCTCAAGCTCTATCTGCCAGCGCATCTCAAACATGCAACCGCCATGTCGTTGCATAGGATACGTAGACGTGCTACCATGGTTTTCTTGAGTGCTAACCCAGCTGGATCCTGGACCTTCATGACAAGGCAGCGTACCTGGGGTTACATGGTCCACTTGCTCCGCAAACCGGTTGAGCACCTCACTCGCCAAGCGCTTGTAGACACGGCCTCTGCGCAGAGGCTGCAGGGAGGGCTGGCGAACACACCAGGCAAGTGGCTCACGAAGACTGCCAGTGCTGTCTTTATGGAGACTTTGGGCTCAGATTCGGTGGTTGCCAGGGCGGCTCAGCGGGAGGACTGGTGTGCTATGGGTCGTTCGCACTTCATGACGCTGTCACACGTCGAGTCCCATAGTCGCCTGGGATCTGGGGTCTGGGGTCGATGGCAGGATGCTTTGCTACAGCATGTTCCGTGGATGTTCAGCATGGTCCTCTTGTGTGGTGCAGAAGGCTACCAAGCCCACTGGATCGATGAAACCCATGGCATGCAGGGATGGCAGCTTGATAGTGAGATCTCCGTAGCGTTGAGGTCCTTCCTCCTCCATGTCAGGGTCTTCCTGCTCAATATCCCTCATGGGGTTTGGGATGCCATCTGCAGTGAACTTCATGCCATGTCTGCGGAATTCAGCGTTGCAACTCAATGTGTGGTTCTCTTTGACATTTTACCTGACAATCAAGTTGAGAGTATTCGGACTATTCTTTGAGGGGTGAACACGAGTTTCGCCTCTTCAGTAAATTTGGTGATGCCCGGCGTCAGACCTGGATGCAAAAAAGAGTTTAGGTTTAGGGTTTAGGGTTCAGGGGTCCCCAGCCATGGGGTCGTGCCAGGGCACCACCGCGCCTGAAGAAGCGGCCATAGAGCGGGTCCAAGACCCCGCGGTTGTGGTCCTTGTCAGGCGGGTGCAGTTCATGAACCCGGTTGCTCATCTTTAGGGTTTAGGGTTTAGGGGTTTAGGGTTTAGGGTGTCCTGTGTCACACATGTAAGGTACTATAGCATGCAGCAAACTATGATTGTGCACTGTATATACGCTACAAGACACGGTGATGCCGCATGCTATGCTGTACGATAACACACCGTACCAAAATGGACATGTATGCCTCATAATATTTTTGGGCTACCATCGAGTGCAATCCTAGTCGCCAAACCCCAAACCCCAAACCCCAAACCCCAAACCCCAAACCCCCAAACCCCAAACCCCAAACCCCAAACCCCCAAACCCCAAATCCCAAACCCCCCCAAACACCCCCAAACACCCCCAAACACCCCCAAACCACTCCCAAACCCCCCAAACCCCCCAAACCCCCCCAAAACCCCCAAACCCCTCCAAAACCCCCCAAACCCCCCCAAACCCCCCCAAACCCCCCCAACCCCCCAAACCCCCCCCAAACCCCCCACCAAACCCCCCCAAAAACCCCCAAACCCCCCCAAACCCCCCCAAACCCCCCCAAACCCCCCAAACCCCCCCCAAACCCCCCCAAACCCCAAACCCCA